GATCTTCATCGAAAACGAAAGCCTATACGATCCAACATCGAAGGATGTTGGTTGGCAGGGGTTGCGTCGTAGATTCTTTCGATGCTACAATTGTGTGTGCCACGACGAACGCGTGCTCGGTTCGTGCCATGCGTTTTCCCTTTCCCTGTCCCTTTCCCTTTCCCTTTCCCTTTCCCTTTCCCTTTGCTACGAAGGTAGCTAAACGCGTGTGCCGAAGAGGAGAGTTTAGAGTTTAGAAGGTACGGCGGGACAGACGCAGATGCTCGCCCAACGAACGGCAGCCGGCGTTGAATCTTGTAGGGGTGACGGATGGGTAAAAGTGTGTCTACCATTGTGATTTTAAAATCGGCTGCCGTACTCTCTACACCTCTCCTATTTCCCCCCCCCCCACTTCTTCTTCAGACTCTCCACCCTTTTTAAATTACTGTCGATTCATGATTTCGACTGGAAAATCTAAAATTGCGGTGTTGGAACATTTCTCTTGGGACGAGAAAATATCTCGGGAGAAAAAAGATAAGGGAAAAGAAAAAAAAAAGACAGAAAAAAAGGAGGGTTTAAAAAGTAGAAACGTTACAACCTTCACCCTCCCCACCCTTTTACCCTTGCTTTTTAAAGAATTTTCAAAATGGCGTCGGAAGGTTCGAGTCGCATGCAGATTGGCTAGGTGTCGAGGGATGTTTTCTCGTAAGAGCTATGAGAAAGGGCGGATTCGCGCTTGCGCATACAACCCTTGCCCTCCCTCCAGAGTTGTTCTTTCGATCAGCCCCACCGAAGAAACCTTTTTATTATTCACACTTTTTATCTGCCAGTATATTTCCAGGTAACTCGCATTATCATAATGGCGAACGACGAGTAGAACGTTCGAATGCGTTGGCCGATACTTTCGAACGTGATCACCTGCGGACTCTCGTCTCGTTCCAAGCAATTTTTATTATATTCGTGCGACCAATGACGTTCGTATACCGTATAATACGATGCTGATACGTTTTCTTCGAGCCGATACAACCTACCAACATCTCCAGGCAGAGTTCAAAAGAACGGATGGGTGGCTCTATTGATCGGCCGCTCTGACAAGAAATAAGGCAACCGTTCGTCCCTACGATCTATCCCTATCCTTTGTCTTTACTTCGTAAACGTTTAGATCAGATGGAATTCACTCTATCCACTTTATATATATATAGAGAGAGAGAGAGTTATATTGTACATGTCTTTTTTCGGGAACAAAGCTTTCATATTGGGTAATATATTTTTTGATAGTTTCTTAAATTAATTCTAAACAAGTATTATCTAACAGAAATAATATAAAGAATAATAATACGAAGAAAAATAATAATTCACAAAGATATATATCTTTCATTTTTCTAACAGATAAAGAGTTATTTATTACGAGAATAAATTTTCCGTTATTAGATCAGGGCCGAGAAACGTTGAGTTAGATTAAATAAATAGTTGGAAAATATTATTGGAATTGATATCAGATAAGATGAATAAAAAATTCTAAGGAGTGTAAGTATTGAAATGACGAAAATAAAAAATGGCATAATAATAAATCTAAAGAAACTTCGGCACGATTCGTTATACGATATCTGTGGAACTTTTCTTCTTGTGATAACGAGTTGAAGAAAACGAGTTGCTGATTAAAGGTCGTTCACACCTGCGCTCCATCCAAGTATCTACGCATATATCTACTTACATATGTATATTTAGTACACGTGCAACGAGTTGAAGCGAAGCGTGCGCGAGAGATATAGGTAGATTTTCTTATCAACGACAGTTTCTCTTCTCTTCGAAAGCTCATCGATCGGAATCTCACACCTGTCGACACGTGGTGCTCGCATTAATCTCAGAAATTTAATACACTTTGATAACAAAAAATCCGATAACCAAATTGGGGCTATCTTACGCTAGATAAATAAATTGAGGAACTTCTGTCATTTTAATCTTTGTTGTTTCTATTATTTGAAAAAAATTTCGAAAAAAAATTTCGAAAAGAAAAAATCATTATAATGGTAGCAATTGTATATTGTCTTTGAATTAGCTCTCGCGTTTTAAATCGGAAAAGATAAGCAATCGTCGTGAGGTAGGTAGCCAAGAACAATTTATTTATTGGAGAAAGGGCTCGTCGGTCCATCCTTCGACTCCTTTCCTGTCCTAAACAGGATTCAATTTGGCCACTGCTTACTACGGTTCCACCTTCAAAGAGGAATCACCATCGGCGTCGTATATAGCCCTAGGAGCCGCCCTTGTCGACGTACCTAGTCGTTCGCCAACTTCTACTATTAATCTTATATCGAACGCTTTTTTCTTGTTCGTTCGGTCTAGCGCACTCCCCCGCAAGACCTCTTCAACCCTTGGACGAGGAGGAATTTTCAATTCTTTCGAGCACCGTACGGAAGCAGATTGCTTCTCTCGAGAAGCAGTCAGTCCTTCGGCGGATGATGATGCTTTTAAACTTCGATAATTCGATGGAATTAGGAAATAGGAAAAAAAAAATCTAAAAAGTTATTCACTTAACTCGATCGTCGTTCATCGATTGGTAATAGTCAATGATCAAAAAGGTCTCGATCGAAATATTTACTTCCCCCTGCAAAGACTCTGGAAACAATTCAATGATGCGTATCGAAGGAAAAGAAAGAAAGAAAGAAATAAAGAAATAAAGAAAAATGGAAAGAGATAAGTTTGCGTCGTGTATCCATCAAGGATACCGCATCTTAGATGCCGGCCGGCCGGCCGACCGGCATCGTCGAAGAAGGAAACCGCAAAGAGAAGATTCAAGCTCGTTCGGTCTTCGTTGTTCTTCGTTACCCTATACCCGATTGGTCAGTATACGCCAGAGCAGCAAGCAGTTCGCATAAACAGAACCATCAATTCGAACATTTCCCTCTTTCTCGAGTTTTTTGCCCCCACTCCCTTTTGCGATGCACCCCTCGTCGTCTTTCATTCGTCCAAGCCGGCGCGAACTCTATTCACGGGTTTATCACTGTCCAGATAACAACGATTTACCTACACGCGACGAGGAAAGAGAAAAAGAGAACCTCGATCAGTGCCAAACCTTAGAGGAAAGGCGAAAAGGAAAAGAGGGAGGCAGCCACCTCGCATTCAGAAGTATTTCACTTTAACGGCCCTCCAGGGGATTGGCTGACCCACGACTTCAGACCCTTCACCGTTTCAGCATAATAGACCTCTACATTACTTATTCGTCCTGGCCAATGTCCTACGTTCCTGACAGTACCTCCTTTCCACGTCTTTCCATTTACGTCTGTTCTATTAATCGCAAATACCTAAACTTATTTTCAGATTTATTTATTCTTTTTTTTTTCTTCTTTTTCTTTTTCTCTAAAATCCTTATTTTTTCTCGCAAAATCGATGTAATTGAATTTTCTGAAAACGTGCGCACTCGACGTTTACGCTAGTGGAAATGTTTGAGGGACAAAAAAAGGGAGAGAAGAATAGGAGCATGCAAACACAAGGAGATTAAAGGAACCACGGTAGTACCACGCCAGGGAGTTAGTTTGAAATCGTAGCCTCGAGACATAACGCGAGCCCTCCTTGAACCGGAACTAAGACCAGTTTTAATATTCCACTAGAAAATTCGAAAACGGCTAAACTCGAGAATTCCGTTTGCTTTTCAACATTCCTACCTAAAAGCTAATCTTATCATTATTATGTAATTATTGAAAATTTGAAAAAGCATTGCTTAGTATTACGAGTAATTCGTAATACCAAAGTACATAGGACAATGGAGGGTCCAGCCGGATAAACGGAGGTCAGCGGCCATTATCTGATGATATTGATTAGCCGACGCCCTTAGTTAGCGCCAGCTACACTTTCTTCGGCCCCACTATCCTTCTTTTTTCTATTTCTCTTCTTCATATACCTCCCTCCCTTCGTCCCTCTCTCTCTCTCTCCATCCCATTTTCTCTTTCTTTGCACAAAGACTTCTTTTACCATCGACTTGAACCCACCATCTCGGACTATATGGTCAATACCCTCTCTTGCTAGCCCTTCGATTTTCTTATTCTCTTGTTTCTTCCCCCCTTACCCTTCCGCTTTCAATCCATCTACCACTTGCCGCTGCCTATTTTGCTCTCTTCCGCCCTCGTTAAGAAGTGGATAGACGAAGAAACGCGGAGGGAGAATGAAGAAGGGTGGGAGAATACTAGGGTGTGAGAAGAGAAAGATACGAGAGAGAAAGAGAACTAAGTCTCTCTTACTGACTAAATCATTCATCAAGGAACTAATACAGAGTCTGACTCACGTCTCACGCATGCAAGGGCGATGTAGTATTTACATGTTCCATAAGTCTAATAAATCTCGTACAGAATGTGCTAAAAGTTTCCTTTCTACGTTTCATTCAATATTCATTCTTTTTTTCTATCCTTAATCAAATTTGTTTTTTTATATTTTACGATTAACTAAAACCATTCGACATATTTGATACAAATTAAAGATTTGATTTAACTGACTATTTGTTTTTTTCTATAGTCTCTATTTACTCGACAAATTGGGAAATTCAGGATATTTGTTTGATACGTACTGTATAGTAGTATATCGTCCCTAGATTCCAGAAAAATAAAAGAAAGAGAGCGCGTTACCCCTCCGTGTAATTAGACACTGCAGCCTGGAACAACATCAAGGCACAGGCATTGTTCCCAGAAATTAAGGGAAACGAGGGAAAGCCGGGAAAACTAACGAAGAATAGGGGATGCAGAGGGTCGCTAATTACGCGAACCCATTGGAGGGAGAGAAGCCATTTTATGCGCACACACAAGTACGAGCGTGTGAGTTATATTAATACAAACGTACGGTACATAGTTTATCTTGAGAACCTCTTTTGCAATTTGATCTCTCCAACGATATTGCCAGATATTTATACGTTCCCCATTTAATGGCGTATTGTCAACTCCTCGTTGCAGACATTTTCATGAAATATAAATTATTTCGAAATTTATTTTAGGCTTCCAATTGATAACACATGATAATGAATGAATTATTTTCAGGTAAAATTTGGATGGCCGACAATGAAGTCGTGTCGAGAACAGAACAATCCTTCAAAAGAATTTCACCTTTGAATGCTTGTGCAACAACTACGACGACAACGACGACGACAGGTGGTGGAGCACCGACACACCCCCACCTGTCACCGCCCATAGCCGCTCCTGTGACGACTCCTGATCATAGAAGCCCGACCAGTCTTCACACCAAACTTGCCATCTCACCTGGTAAATAATCTTACTTTCTTTTATCTTATTGTAATATTGTTGGCAGATGAATATATATAGAATATTTATTATTATAATAAATAAACTCTCTCAGTTAACACACACAATTTCAGTCATGTAAAAACAAAGTAAGAAGTATGTAAAAAGTTACGTGACGCGTAAAAACCTTTTGTATATGCGAGTTAAAAAAAATAATATGACTTCACATATAATAATACGGGCGACTAGGTATTTACTATTTATTTTATTAAAAGAAAGTACACATAATTGTAAAACATACCTTATGATGATTTAAAAAGATACCGTCTTAAACCCGTTACGGCCTCTCCTCGATTGAGCGGTCTTTCGAAAAGAACATTACCTACGAAATGTAATCTCGGTTTCCGTCCCTCTGAGATTTTCTGCCGCTTTCTGAGGACATCAGCCGACGCAGGACTTGCAGCACACAGTCGACGATCGAGGGTCGGCGACTTAAAACGGTCTTCGAGTAAGACTCTTTAAATAATGCAATAAGCTTGATGTCATTTGCCGGACAATGGAGGGAGTTCCTTTTACGGCAGAGACCGATGAAATTGGCCCTCCGCCGCGGGTGCCCACTTCCGTTCCGTTCCGTTCCAGTACTTGGTATTTTTGCTTACCTCTTGCCAATCACTCGATTCTTCCTATTTTTTTCTTTTTTATATTTCTTTTTTTTATTTAT